CACTGAGCTAACTCTTCATCTTGTGTTAAAGAGTGACTACTACAATATATATAGGAATAAAATTAAAATTTAACCTACCTATACAACGTAATTTTTCGACGAAGGGGTGTCGCTCGACACCCCTTCGGGAAAGGGTAGCTCCGCCCATATATATATATATATTCTTCTTCTTCTTTTTCACAATTAAATATTTGTTAACTTTGCTCCTATTGAGTGGCTCACTGATACCATTGCTTATGTTACAAATCCTGGTATGCATTTTTACAGTCATTAATTTATGCTTATGTTATTAAGGATAAATGATAAAGATGTAATAATTTTCATTTTCCTTTAAGCTATTAATGTTTGTTACTATGTAATCTTATATGTAAGATAACATAGTGTTTTAGTTTTAATGACCGATAGGTTTTAAGTATTATTTTATAAATTTCATGATACTATTAAATTCCAGCGCGAAGCACAAGTAATTTTACTAGTATATATATAAAAGAAAACTCTAGGCCCGCCTACGTGGCGTCACCACAAATCAGGATTCCCTTTTAATTTATTTATTTCCAAAACTAGCCTTTCCTTTTATGAAAAATTGTGACTTTTATTAAAAGTTGTGACTTCAATGAAGAGTTGCGACTTTTATGAAAAGTTGCGACTTTTATGAAAGGTTGTGACCTTTTCGAAGGGTTGAAACTTTTCCAAATAGTTGTGACATTTCCGATAAGGCACAACAAAATATTTGTTCACACTACCCTTTGTTGTCTATAAATAGAGGGATTTCCTCTCATTTTAAAGCAACAAAAATTCTGAACTTCTTAATTCTTCTTCTTCTGCACAATTAAATATTCGTGTACTTTGCTCCTGTTGAGTTGCTCACTGACACCATTGCTTATGTTACAGATCCTGGTATTTTTTTTACAGTCATAAATTTATGGTTATATTATTAAGGATAAATGATAATATGATATAATTTTCATTTTCCTTTACATTTTTAATGTTCGTTACTATGTAATCTGTTATGTAAAATAATATAGTGTTTTAGTTTAATGACTGATAGGTTTTAAGTATTATTTTATAAATTTAGTGATATTAAATTTCCACGTGAAGCGTGGGTAATTTTACTAGTAATATTTAAATAGTAAATAATTTATATCAATACACATAATTTGAGAAAATGTCATAAATAGTCTCTTAACTATAGGAGTAGGTCTAAATGGTCTCTTAACTATACACTTATCGGATTTAGTCCTTTAACTATTCAAAAACTTATCAAGTTTGGTATCTTAACCATACACTTGCTGATTTAGTCCCTTAACTATACATTTGTCGATTTTAGTCCTTTAAATATTCAAAAAAATATCAAGTTTGTTCTTTGTCCATTTTTTTTTATATAAATAGCTTAGGTTTATATAAACGGAACTCTTCATGAAATTAAATCTTTAACCCATTTTTAATTAAGTTTCTATCCCCGTTACTTTTTCTTCTAATTACTTTCATGAAAAGAACTATAACTTCAACGATTCAAAATAAAATTAATGAGAAAAGAAGATATAAGTCCTAATTTTATAATTCAATGGAGGATAAAATGAAGCATATGATTGTTGCTAATGACTTGAATATGCTATTTTCCCTTCTTTGGCGGTTAACAGTTCGTGTAAATTTCTTTATTTTATTTTTCATACAACAGAAAAATAAGAGATATGATCTTATTACTCAAATTTCTCCACGTAAAATAAAATGAACAGATTAATAAAATCGATCTATGTTTTTTTAAAAAAACTAAAAAATGTTGCAAATCTTCAATTTTATAAATTTTAACGTTTGAAAAATTAAACAAATGCCCTTCCATAAAGTCGTTGGCATACAAATTTTGAATTTAATGAGTAATAATTTTTTTCTTTTAATAATAAAATTTAGCTTAGCTTATTCAAGTCATTAGTAGCAATAACATGCCAAATTTTATCCACTGTTGAGTAAAATTATGACTTATATTTTCTTTCCTCGTGAATTTTATTTTGAATTGTTGAGGTTAAGGTTCTTTGCATAAGGGTAATTTGAAAAAAAAAGTAGTGAGGAAAAAGAAACAACTTAAAAAATGCCTAAAAAATTTAATTTTGGTGAAGGTGAAATGTTTTGTCCCATGTGAAGTATGATGTGATAATTTTTCAAAATAAAAGAGAAAGTGTATTACATATACCATGATGAGAGGATAATAAAAGAAAGACGTGTCTTTTCAAATTAATAAATGATAATTTAGATATAAAATTCACACTCTTAAATTTTTTTAAAAAAAATAGGTTTGTTTGTAACTATCCAAAGCCCCGCTTGAACAGTAATGACTTTTCAGCCTCTGGTCTTCTTATCCTCCAAATCTCCATTTTTTGTGGTAAAATCAGCTTCCTTAAGCTTCTGTTCTGTTATCATATATTTGTGATTTTCATCTACATGTTTCCTCAATTCTATATACTTGCAATTGTTCTAGGTTACTCAATTTTAGTTCATTTTTTTCAACTTTGCCATAGTAAAGCCTGTACTTGTGAGTTTCCGATTTTGCTCAACTAAACAGGAACAGGCTAGATTTCTTTATCTATTAATGGGAAGCAAGTATTCCAAGCAAACAACTCACATAGCAGATGCTTCTAACTCGAGTTATCGCGTTCCTTTTGAAAGTTTTCGAGTTCCTTTTCTAGATTTGGAGGAAGCAACGAACAACTTCGATGACAAGTTTTTCATTGCAAAGGGTGGATTTGGGAGTGTTTACAGGGGTGTTTTACGTGATGGAACAAAGGTGGCCTTGAAAAGGTGTTATCATACTTCTCATAAAGAGTTCCAAACATAAATTGAGATGATTCTAATTTATGAGTACATGGAGAATGGGAGCCTCACTAGACATTTGTATGGCTCAGATCTACCCACTATGAGCTGGGAGTAGAGGTTGGAGATATGCATCGCGGCCGCCAGAGGTCTGCATTACCTTCATAGCAACGCAGTTATACATCGTGATGTCAAATCTTCAAACATATTGCTTGATGAGAATTTTGTGGCAAAAATTACTGATTTCGGAATATCCAAGACAATTCTTGAGCTTGATCAAACCCATCTTAGCACAATGGTGAAAGGAAGTATAGGCTACATTGCCCCTGAATATGTTAAATTAGGTCTTAGCCCTAACTCACACCCCAAAAGCTAGCTCAAAGGGGGAGAATTGCCCAAGCCTTATAAGGAGTCCACCCATCTCATTAACCACCGATGTGGGACTTTTGTCATTCTTTAACAGAATATACTATGTGGGGAGAGCTTACAGAAAAATCTGATGTTTATTCTTATGGTGTTGTTTTATTCGAAGTTCTTTGTGCTAGGCCTGCCCGAGTACAATTGGAGATGGTTAGCTTAGCTAATTGGGCAATGGAAAGTCAGAAGAATGGACAATTGGAACGAATCATAGATCCCAATCTTGTTGGCAAAATAAGACCAGATTCCCTCAGTAAGTTTGGAGAAACAGCGGTGAGATGCTTAGCTGAAACTGGTGTAGATAGGCCATCAATGGGTGAGGTGCTGTGGAAACTGGAGTATGCACTTCATCTCCAAGAGGCTGTAATTCAAGATGATCCTGACTGCAAGCAAAGGCGGAGCCAAGACTTCCGTTAAAAGGATATCAAAATATAAAGAAGTAAATACACAAAAAAGCCTGTAATGTGCATGTTGTTTTAGTTGTTTATATATTTATTAAAGCAAAGTTAACCTATATATACAATTAATTTTCCAGCAAAAGGTTGTCGTTTGACACTCCTCGGGCAAGGGTAGTTCCTCCCCTAACTATAAGTCAATGTCCGGCAGTTACACATGTTGTATATGGTTTCTATTAAATTCTTCATACATAGAAATTCGCTCCATTAATGTCATGCCAGCGAAAACGCTTTTGAAAACATGGAACAATTTTGAGCCTCTGGGAAGTTTGCATATGATATGGTAATACATTGCCTTATTATAAATCGACAAAATGATAAATTTACTTAGTTTCTAAAGGGATGTGAAACCTAAAATGGTGACAACTAAATAGGAACAAATGGAGTATAATTAATGATTCAATAAAAAAAAATAGTCAAAACACATTTTGATTTTGCATCATGAAAATGAATATTTAATATTCCCTCTATTCCATATTAACTGAATTTGTAAGTCAATGCATACTTATTAAAAACATTCAAGGGCATAATTTAAATCATACTTTCTACTGTTATTCTTTCTGAAATCGTAAATATAACTTTGCAAACAATGCAATTTATCTTCAAGAAAATATCAAACTTCATTAAAGAAAAGGATAAATATGGAAAAAAATTCAAACATCCATCTTGAACTTTGAACAATTCAATTATTTTAAACAATAAAAAAATCCCAAAAGTTAAGTTAATATGGAATAGTGAGAGTACACAGCAAGCAATCATTCTCTTGCACACAGAGTCTTTTCTTTATTGCATTACTAAATGCACAATCAGAACTGCAATTGACAATTGATTCGTAAAAATTAGGAGAAAAAAAATTAAAACGCCAAAAAATAAATATGATTTTTGGCGAGACGTGTCGCATCATTTTGTCTGTATTTAGCTTTATTATTGTATATAGATTTCACTCAATGATGCAGCAGAAATCCAAAAATCTATACGAACTTAAAATATTACTATTCTAGTGTCCTGTAATGCATCATCACAACATAAAATATTAAGTATTAGTTATAGAGAAAAAGACAGTTTCATATAATAAAGGAGAAACATAGACGAAAGGAAAAAATAGTTTCATATAATCAACAAGTATATGTCCTAATCAGGAACTGAAAAAAGTTTGAGATAACTGCCCAAATACACGAGTGAAGAGGTATTTGTCTTTTTGGTGCATAGTAGTAAGACTTTTCAGTCTCTCATCTTCTCCAAATCTCTACTGTTCTGTTAAAATCAGAGCTTCTTCAAGCTTCTGTTATATATATATATATATATATTTGTGATTTTCATCAATTATATATACTTGCAATTGTTCTACATTCCTCAATAGGGTTGACTTTGTTCTTTTCTTATCTATGTTTTCAACTTTGAAGGCAAACAGTCAGGAGAAGTTCAATTAATGGTTGCACTCCACCATGGGAACTAAGTATTCCAAAGCAACAAATTCCATAAATGATACTTTAAATTTGAGTAATCGTATTCCTTTTGAAAGTTTTCGAGTTCCTTTAGTAGATTTGGAGGAAGCAAGTAATAACTTTGATGACAAGTTTCTAATTGGAGTGGGTATATTTGGGAAGGTTTACAGGGGTGTTTCGCGTGATGGTACAAAGGTGGTCCTGAAAAGGCGTAATCGTGAGTCGCCACAAGGGATTGAAGAGTTCCAAGCAGAAATTGAGATTCTCTCATTCTGCAGCCATCCGCATCTGATTTCATTGATAGGATATTGTGATGAAAGAAATGAGATGATTCTAATTTATGACTACATGGAGAATGGGAACCTCAGTAGACATTTGTATGGGTCAGATCTACCTAGTATGAGCTGGGAGCAGAGGCTGGAGATATGCATCGGGGCAGCCAGAGGTCTTCACTACCTTCATAACAGCGCAGTTATACATCGTGATGTCAAGTCTACAAACATATTGCTTGATGAGAATTTTGTCGCAAAAATTACTGATTTTGGAATATCCAAGACAATGCCTGAGCTTGATCAAACCCATCTTAGCACAACGGTGAAAGGAAGTATAGGCAACATTGACCCTGAATATTTTATAAGGAGACAACTGACAGAAAAATCTGATGTTTATTCTTTCGGTGTTGTTTTATTCGAAGTTCTTTGTGCTAGGCCTGCCATAGGTCGTTCACATATGATTAGTTTAGCTGAATGGGCAGTAGAGTCGCAGAAGATGGGACAGTTGGAACAAATTGTAGATCCCAATCTTGCGGCCAGAATAAAACCAGAGTCCCTCAGGATGTTTGGAGAAACAGCGGTGAAATGCTTAGCTTCGTCTAGTGAAAATAGGCCATCAATGGGTAATGTGCTGTGGAAACTGGAGTATGCACTTCGTCTCCAAGAGTCTTTCATTCAAGATGATCCTGAATGATTCTTTGTTCATGGATCATGTAAAGATTTTTAATTTTTTTTGTTTTTGTAACATCTTCAGAGTTTTATTTAGAGAGTTAGTGTGTCACATGCTGTATAGGTTTCTATTAAGTTCTTATCGTAAAATGAAGTTTGCTTACCTCTTCTGAGATTGCTCAAAGACCCTCAGATTTCTCTGGATGTTTGATGTGTTGTGAAATAAAGTAGTATAATGTAACATTAAAGCTTGTTGTTTGGTCTCTCTTTTTCATTAATATTTGGCAATAGGGATGGCAGGGTCAGGTCTGGTAATATGGTCGATTTGTTTTGGCACTTGAACATTCAAAACTGAATGACAAGCAGCAGTTGGATTTCAGTGACCTTCCGCCTTCAGGTGCATCCATTCAGTAAAGATTTGGCGTAATATTCATGTCAAAAGCCTAGACAACAGCCAGTATTAGATGACTACATTCATGGCGGAGCAGATACTTTCAAGATTCTTCATGAACCAAAAATGGAAAAGCTTACTGAAACGAGTAATGGATAAACCGAAACCAAAAATTACAGAAGAAAATTATACAGAAATGATTCAGGATTTGTAAAGATGAACACAACCATTCTTTGAAATATCACTCCCTATATTTACAAACACTTCACCATTACAATTTACAACTAACAAACATGTGCTTCCAGAGTAAAGCCAAAAAAAAGGGAACTTAAGGCAAGATGATACTTGAGATGCATAGCTTCCGCTCTTGCAGATTGATTCATGTGATGTCTCAGTTTGAGGCCACTGAAACATCATCTGGGGTAGAAAGAACCGTGAGAAATGCTCGCAAGTGGTTATTGAAGCCGAATCGCCTTCTCTATGGGGATAAGATGGAGTATCTGTTAGGACCGAAATAAGCAGGTGTAGCGCGGAAGCTAGCAAAGAAAACCTCGAAAGACCACGAGTAAGAAGACAAACGAGAAATATACAAAGACACAAAGATTTAACGTGGTTCGGTCAATCGACCTACGTCCACAAAGGAGATGAGCAATCCACTATAAATATGAGAGTACAAAATATAGAGAGAAATAACCTCAACCAATTCACTCGGAATACATGGGAGGTTCACACAAGTGATAACGTATCAAGCTTGTGACCCACAAATTCTCTCCCTAACCAAAACTCTCAAAGCCCTTAAGACTACATTGTGAATGCTGATTAAGTTAGAAGGAACAAACCTCTATTTATAGAGTCCTAAACTTTTTCCTA